GTAAATGGTATCACCCTGCAACATTTAAGGTGTTTCCAATTTTACTATATTTCTCAAGAAGCTTGACTTTTATAACACCTCTTTCATCATTTTAAGCAACCTTCCCCTTCCTTTTTAAAGGGGACAGCATTAGAAAATAAATGGTGAATTGCCCCCCTAAGCCTATGCCCAGTTTATAAAGAACATAACTGATATTTTGGCCAGTATAAGAAACTCTCCTGGCCAGGTGCGGTGACTCACATCTGTAATCCCAGCACTTTGGGAGGCTGAGGCAGGTGGATGACCTGAGGTCAGGAGTTTGAGACCAGCCTGACCAAAATGGTGAAACCCCGCCTCTTCTGAAAATACAAAAAATTAGCAGGGCATGGTGGCGGGTGTCTGTAATCCGAGCTACCCAGGAGGCTGGGGCAGGAGAATCGCTTGAACCTGGGAGGCGGAGGTTGCAGTGAACCGAGATCGGGCCATTTCACTCCAGTCTGGGCAACAAGAGCAAGACTCTATCTCAAAATAAATAAATAAGAATAAACTCTTCCTTTCAGTATCTATTTGGTTTCCCTACAAGTTGGAATAATTCATCTCAATGCTAATAATACTGCTCTGAAGGTGCATGCGGCTGACTTATTAATTCTATGTATTTTATGGTAGGCCTAAATGATAGCTCTGATGGGACCTTATTTAGAATTTCCGTGGTACTGGAAAACTGCTTTCACATGGACTATGGCTCCATAGATAGGTGATGAAATATTATTAAATTAATTAAATAACACAAACTAGTAGGAAATGGAGAAACAGCAAGAATGCCTGACTGCTTTGGTGGTCACCAACATAGTTTATATTATAGACAATGCATCTGGGGCCTGCCCACAGCCACAGTAAGGAGGTGAAATGAGTATAGAGAATCCAATTATTTTTTTTTTTCTCATAAAAACTCAAGTGTTAGATCATTGTGGAAGGGCTTGATTTGATATGACAGGGATTTCTGATAAATAGCATTGGTGACACGAATAGAATAAACCAGACCATGGAAGACTAGACTGATTATCTGATTTTAACGTTAGATTCATTTTTCTCAGCTTTGTGATGTAAGAAAAACTGAATTGAACTTTAAATATCCTTATACTTTTCTAATTTAGGATAGGAAAATTTCTCAATTATATAACATGGTTAATTAAAAACCAAAACCCTAAAACTTTTGTGTCACATGAAGACTTTATGAAATCTATACTACTATAGATTAGTAAAATCTATATTGTTTTTAAGGTGACTTCTGATTCTCCAACTGGAGCAATACCCCCAAATCCTTTGGTAATTTTGATCTTGAAAAGTGAATTCTAGTTTTCTCAAATCATAGGAAAAACTAGTACATTTAGACTTAGTATTATCATTGACCACTACATTAATTTTCATCACACTCAGTACTTGATACTTCATGCCCCCTATAAAACATTCTCACTTCACCTTTTGATTGCCATCATCAAGAGAGTACTACTGAGCTTTATTTTCAATAGCTTTTATAGCTAAAGTAATAGCCCAACTGTGTTTTCAAATAAATCTATTCACTGAGAGATTGATACAGGTTCCTAGAGAAGTCAACATATTTTGAGTTGTTGATGGTGAGTTTTCTTTCTTCAATTATGCTTGGCACGAAAAGGATCAATAGCCAATTTCTCTGTGACTGGTTCAAACACAAAACTCTATGTTAGCAAAAATTTTTAGCTATTGAAGCCTTCTAGTACTATGACATACACATGAATATGAAACCCTGCTTTCCAATTACATATAGGGCCAAGTATACAAATGTGTTATCAGCTAGAAACAATCTGGCTTCTTTCCAGGAAAAAGATACAGAAACATTTTTTTCTGTATTCAGAGAAAATAACTTTCAAATCTCTGATGTCTAATTCTACTTAAAAGCTCAGTTGCAGGAAAGCATATTCACGAAAGGTTACATGATGTGATAATTACATATTGCATACCTGTATTAAAATCTCATGTAATTCGTAAATATATACACCTACTATGTATCCATACAAAACTAAAAATTAATAAAATAGAGAATCTAAGAATCTGAAAACAATTGCTAGAGTACTTTAGACTTCTGCTCCAATATTTTTTCCTCTGATAGAATTGCTTTTCCTCAATGGCCCTTTAGCACTAAAGTTTTCTATTGCATGGAGCCACGTTGGTAGAAAAAAATAAACAAACATTCTTATTGTTTATTATAAGAATATTAATCAGCTTGTTATCACCTTTATGATCCTCCCATTTATTTTCTTCTGGCACTAAGTTCTAGCAAAAAGCTAACATACTACTAGTAAAGTTAAAATTATTTTAATTATTATTTTAATAATTTAGAAACTTTGGGTCTCATAAATATGTTTACCTCTTGGTTTTGTCTGTTAGGAAGCTTGGTGTCAATTTGTGACTTTATTGTTCCCTGTCCATTCCACCACCCATGAGACATTGTGGATATATTTCTATGCACTTTTTTCTTTATTATTTATCTACTATAATTTTCCTTTTCCTAGTTTTCCAATTTACTTAGGCTTGTCAAGTTGTGCCATATGTATCTCTTTAAGTCACCCTAAATAATTTTTCTGGAATTTTATATTAAATATAATTCAGATACTTTAAGATAAAACTGATAATATTTAGCTATAGTCAATGTACTTGAAATTATGCTTTGTTTGGATAAACTAAAGGTCAAATAATCACTTCATGAGTAATTGACATTTTTATGTATTTGAATATTTGAAACTAGATGTTCAAATATTTTCATACAAAAATAATGTTCTTAGGTCAATGCAACTGAGAGAAATTCAGCAGATATAAATTAAATTGTCTAAAATTTTTAAAAAATAATAAAAAAGAAATTGACTCTATATATTCAACTTTCTGCAGTCACATTCCAAATACTTGGAACGACTGGCAACTACGTTTAATGTACTGCATTTAAATGAATTTAATTTGGGCTGGGCGTGGTGGCTCAAGCCTGTAATCCCAGCACTTTGGGAGGCCGAGACGGGCGGATCACGAGGTCAGGAGATCAAGACCATCCTGGCTAACATGGTGAAACCTCGTCTCCACTAAAAAATACAAAAAACTAGCCGGGCGAGGTGGCGGACGCCTGTAGTCCCAGCTACTCAGGAGGCTGAGGCAGGAGAATGGCATAAACCCGGGAGGCGGAGCTTGCAGTGAGCTGAGATCCGGCCACTGCACTCCAGTCTGGGCGACAGAGCGACTCTGTCTCAAAAAAAAAAAAAAAAAAGAATTTAATTTTTTAGTTTTTTAAAATTTTACATTTATCTTTTGAAACAGCAATTGAAACTTATAGCTTGAATCAAGCTCTCCACCTACCAAGAAACCATGAGAAATGAGAATGTACTCAATAGTCATGGGGTTTCATATATGAGAGTTTGAATTTTATGCTAAATTATTAGAATGATTATCATAAATGTGACTGACTTAGATCTGCAGGGCGTATCTTTTTCTTTTATGTTTATTATTTTTAAAGAAATAATGAGCACCTTCCAAATAAATTGGTAAAAAAAAAAGTTCTGTAATTTAGATGCAAATGAATATACTTTTTATATGACAAGTAATAGATTTTAGAGTATGTCATTAACAGCTTAGTGTTTCAAAAGATCTAGATAGAGTGATAAATTATCTTTATTCTCCAAAGAAAGAAAATAAATTCCAGCTTTCTAAGCTTTGTTTTTTTTTACTAGATCTCAAATTAGCTCTGCTCCTTGACTTTATGAAAAATATTTTCCAGGTAGATTCAACAAGCAGACAATTCTCCAGACTATTCAAGCCTTCTATATGACAAGGATAACCTAGAAACCTTTGCAAAGTTCATTACCTTATAATATTTGAATGATTTCATGGGGAGGCTAATGCAAAAGTACCTCAAGTAATATGTTTGAATGATAAGAAAAAATAAGGCTAATGTGAGTTTTAACCTGTATATACTTTTTCTTGCTATAGTAATCTCATATACGATCCTGAATAACTATAATTCAACATCTTATCTAACATTAAATTTATTCTGAAAGAGAGGAAAAACAATTTAATTCACTATTATTTATGTGAAAATATTTTATGGAACAAAATATATTACTACTTGTTCTCTGAATCTACATAAAGACGGTTTTCAGTTTGGGTCTCATTTATATGATTGTAAGTTTTTACATAATGTACTGAAAATTTCCCAACTTTGAATCATCTGGATAGCCACATTGAATTAAAAATAAAGCACAAACTTCTTATACATCTAGTTAATTTGGTAACTTTAAAATATCAAGTGGGTGTAAATGGCCTAACACATTGGCAAATTTTGAGGTAAAACACGTTATCAGTATCAGCTATTTTCTTTATATCAACACACTTTCAAGTAATCTGGTAATGAATAAACTGTAAAAAAAGTATTAAGCTGTGAGTCTCTTCACTTAAGTTCTAAGCAGCATGAAATGACTGGCCATCAGAGAAAGGGCAAGAATTTAACAGCTAACAATTACAGGAGCCCCTCTGTCATTTGGTGATGGGAATGATAGCCCCTGCATAGACACCTCAAGATTCTTTCTGAAATGTGGCTTTGGCAATATGCTAATCTTGCAAGTCCTGTCTAGCCCAACTATCTTCAATCTCTGTGTCCTTGTCCTCTTCATGACTGTGGGATTCATTTGGGCAGTATCGTCTTAGGCAAGCCAGTATGTTATAGGATCTCATCTCTGGACCAATTTTCAGACTAATGGCCTATGTATTTTTTAAGGTCTTACTCATAATTTACTGAACTCTAAGGAAGATTTGGAGAGACTCTTGCTAAAGCTTACCATTGGTTTTATCATGGTCCTGAAAAGCACAGATGAATTTTTAAGAAAGAGAAAATGAAACAATATTTATAATGCTATTATTGCTACATGTTAATACTTCCTTACAAAATCATATTACTATGTGTTTTCACGCACGTTCAAAATAACCTTCGGTGATATAGGTTTTACCTTTCCCCAGGCAACTTCAGAATCCAAATTACTAGGCATTCCTTCAACTGCTGATCTCTTTGTCAATTCCATATCTGTAGCTGCCAGCCATTCTGTCAAGACATTCATTTCCTTTCGCATCTTACGGGACAGTTTTAAGCATTTCTCCAACTGTTGCTTTCTTTCTGTTACCTGAAAAGAAGTATAATAAAATGTAATTTGGTTTACTCTGTAATTCAAATTTAGTTATAACCACTTATTTGGAACTTTTATATGTCTTTTATTTAAAATAACTATTTTCTTACAGGTTTTAAAATAATATTTTATAAAATCATATATTCTGAATATTCAGAGTGAATAAAAATTGTCTAGGGCAGATGAGATCGTCTGTCCAAAAGAGAGGGTCTTGTATGTTGTCATGGTAGAAAAGAAAGCTATAAGAATTTTTCTCTAATATAAGATAATTTATGGCCAAAGTTTATGATAAATAAAATGATACAAGTCAAACTGAAGATAAAACTCATTTCTCACTGAAAACTTACTGTCATTTGTCAACAATATGGCAAGAAGGTTTACGATCCTCTATATATAAATGAGGCTTGCTCATGCTGGTAAGGAACCGAAATGAAGACAGAAGATTAATTCTCTCAAAAGGTAAAAGTATTTGTGTAATACCTAGAATTATCAATTGTATCCTCATTGCATCTTTAAAGTGTCTTACATCTGCTCATAAACAATACAGTGAATAGGTGACTTCCTCCTTAAACACAATTTTGCCATCCAATAGGAACAAAAAGATGAATGCGAAGACAATATTCATCCCCATTAATAGAAAAACTCATGACTTGATCCTGTACTCCTGTTCTCAGTGTTTGATACCAAGACCTCAAAAGCAAATTATCCATATTCTCACATAAGAAATAAACAAATTTGTATTTCTCTACCACCTTGTCAGATGTGCCTATATTTTGTTAATATTTTCAGTTGGTTGGTTTAATAAAAAGCCCAGCATCTCTTTCTACTAAATGCAGTCAAATCATCAACAAAAGCCAGGTAAATTACAATTTCTTAAAGGCAAATCTTCTTGCCTCACACATCTTTAGATGACTCCCCTATACTCCTGAAAGTTCCTTGAACAAAGAAAGGATTTGCTAAATATGCTTTATATATGGAATAAAGGAATGAATGAAGACTTGCAAATCATTAATTATAAGTTATAACTGGTAGAATTTACACATAAAGAGTTTAAACTCTTAAAAGTTGCTCCTGGTGCTTTTGTTTGTTTGTTTTTGTTGTTGTTGTTATGTGTTTTCACTATATATATTTTATATATATATTTGTTTTTTTTTAAACCCTTTTCTGTCATGAAGACTGGGAATCTGAACAGTAGATATAAATATTTGGCTCTGCAGAAACAGCATGATGGAATATAAGTATGTGAGGCTCTGCAATACCTAGTGGACTCACAACTTGAGTATGATTTTTGGCAGAACACCTCATTTTACTCTGTTAACACATCTATCAAATGGGATTATATACTTATTAATAGCACATAGGAATATTCTGAGGGTAAAACCAGACAACATTTTGAGAGAGCTTGACATATTGTAAGACCTCAATCCCTTCCTTTATTCTCCTTATTTACCTTTAGGGATGGTTCAATAAAAAACTGTGCCTGAATGTACAGAGCAAAAGCTTTATTTACATCTATTTTACTACCTTATAGGTAAATAAAACACGGACAAGATTTGGCATTTGTTGCCAAGAGATCTGAAAGGTAGAGTCCAGATTAATTTCAATTGTAATGGAATTGGTTAAAATACCACCACCAGCGTTTGTGCATCATGCCCTAGGCATAATAGGTACCACTGACTGATACATATATATACACAAATATATATATATATATCAGTCATATATACATACAAATATATATATGTGTGTGTGTGTGCGCGCGCGCAACCGAAACAAGAATCTAGCTATAAGCAAGAAAAACACCAAAGATGAAAATATGTATAAAGCATCTAAAATGCTACAATCAAAATAAATATTCTGGAACCCTGATAACAATTTCAATTCCAAATAACAAAATTTATTATTTTCTTTAGGAGAGGTGTGTGTACATTTAGAAAACATTTAGTTGCTGAGGCTGTAAATTCATTTATTTAAAACAGATTTTCCCTTCTATTTTTTTTCTTCTTTTATTTATTTATTTATTAGTATTATTATACTTTAAGTTCTAGGGTACATGTGCATAACATGCAGGCTTGTTACATATGTATACTTGTGCCATGTTGGTGTGCTGCACCCATCAACTCGTCAGCACCCATCAACTTGTCATTTACATCAGGTATAACTCCCAATGCAATCCCTCCCCCCTCCCCACTCCCCATGATAGGCCCCGGTGTGTGATGTTTTTTCCTAAGTAAAAGCATCTGCCCTTTTGACTGCAAGAATTTTATTTGTGTTGTAAGGGTGCATGGGGGGTGGGTGGGAGAAAATATACCTTACGGTGTGTTTCTATGCATATTTTTTCCTATGCACTACTGGTAGAAAAATGATTCCAGATTCAATATTTCAAAGAAATTCTATCTTCCCAGAGCTAATGCATTATTGATTTTTATTTATTTCATTTTGTTTATTTCCAGCTAAATACATTTTTAAAAAACAGGAAACACTGCCATCTTAAGGAAAATTGAGTTTTATACTTTGTGTGTGTATGCGGGGAATGGATACATTTAACAGAATGCCACCTGCAGTAAAATGTTTTAGTAGTCATTGTTTCAAGAAGTTAACAATGTATTTACGGGATGATATTAGTATTGCTATTTATGTATATTTCCATAAAAATCAGAGCATAGAGAAATAAAAAGGGATTATAAGTATTATTACATCAATGGTACTAGGTTTAATATCTCTTAATAAATTATATTTCTCTCCCCACTCATCACCATATAAGAATACAGTGAAAATGTAAGACAAGAAGAAATTACTCTTCAGGAATCAAATGGACCAGCCCCTTGATCTTGCACTCCCAGACTCCAGAACTTGGAGAAATCAATTTGTGTTGTTTAAGCCATCAGGTTTATTTTATTTTTTTATGGCAGCTGGAGTTGATTACTCCAAAAAGGTAATGCATACTGAATTGAGGCAGACAGAACCATATAAATTCTGAAGATGATTAAAACAGAAGGGTTCCTTCTTATATAAAAAGAATAATGTAATAAAATTCCCTTTGTTGCCTTTGCTTTTATCAGACAAAGCTACTGCTGTTGAAAATATTTTGAGTCAAAATGCAGACAATATTTTTACTCTCAGCCAAAGAATACAGGACTTACAGCATTTTTATAAGATGGTATTTATACATGATCCCTCAGTCATAAATGTTTCTAAATCAATATTTACTTCAAAAACAAATTTTTGGCCTATGTTTTTGCTGTTTTCTGTGATATTATGATTTCTTCATACACTTTTATTTTGCTTTAAGGATACTACTATGTGGCAAATGGTTAGAAGAAACACAAGCTCTCAAATATGTATTTCAGGAATAAATAGGGTTTTATATCATTATGAGAATCATTCATTTCTGAATAATAATCAACTCAGGGCACTATTATTCATCTAATGTCACTTTTATTGTTTTAAATTCTAATTGATTTAGCCTGTTATTTTATGCTAAATTTACTCTTGCAATGATTTTGTAAAACTTCCCTTGACAAATAAAAAGTCCACACACAACTCTATTTTTAAAAGTAAACTGAGAAACTCCCCTTTACCAAAATGTGTATTTTCTTAATTTAAAAAATATTCATCCATACATTATTTTAGTATAAAGTCACACAGGCCAAATTATAAACTGAAAATTTGTAATTTATAATGATAACATACATTTATTTTATTAATTTAAAATTTATAATTTATAATTATAAAAAGAATATGTTTCCAGAACTGAAGCTGTAGCATTACGATATTAGAGATTACCCAATCTCCAATACATTTGAGACTAGAGATTATTCAGCCCTTCATAATTTATGTTAAATATGAAATAATTGGCATCTATAAAAATTGATAAGCACTGGAATGAGATATCCAGTGCAGATACAACTTTTCTCTCTGTGGTGATCTTTAAAACAATGATACATATCTCTAGAGGATACAAAGGTATCTCATTCCAAAGGTACCCCAGTAGACCAAACAAGCAGTTGAAATGTATTTTATTTCAAGATTATCATAATGCTTTCCCATCAATTGAGTATCAGTGTTCCTTATTTTGTTTCCTTATTTTGTAACAAAGTAGGAGAATCTTTTGTTATAGGATGGCAACAAACTTGTTTAAAACATACCAAATATAAATTAGAGGGTTTTTAAAATATAAAAACAAGACTATCAACTAACAAAAATGGTTATTTTCAGATTTCAATTTAATTCTAAAATTTATTTTCTATGATAAGGAATTTGCAATTAATATCTTCAAGATATAACCTTCAATCTACTTTCAGGGTGAGATACAAGAAATATGCCTCTCCTTAGCTATTTCTCAAACATGGACATTTGTATTTCTGTCTAAGATGAGGTGACAGACAATTTTATCAGTGATGTTGTTCTATTCACTAAAGTTGAGAGCCTGACTTGTAAAAATGTAACTTTTTATCCTCCATGAAATTCAGTTCTTTCAGTCAGAATGAAATTAAAATGTTAGAAGTCCATTTTTGGAAATAGTAAGATATCCGTTTATGGAAAGACATCCTATATTCACGGGTTGAAATAAATAATATTGTTAAGATGTCTGTACCACTCAAAGCAATTTACAGACTCGATGCAACCCCTATTAAAATTCCAGTGACATTTTTGGCAGATGTAAAAGAAACAATCCTAAATTTCACTTTGAACAACAAAAGACCCAGAATAGCCAAAGCAATCTTAAGCCAAAAGAACAAAACTGGAGGTATCATAATTACCTGATTCAAAAGTATTCTATAATGCTCTAGTAATTAAAAGAGCAGGATAGTGGTATAAAAACAGACATATAGACCAAAGGAACAGAACAGAGAGCCCCAAAATAAATCCACATATTTATGATCAACTGATCAACCAAACTGCTAAGAACACACAATGAAAAAAGGACATTATCTTCGATAAATGGTTCTGAGAAATTAGATATCCAAATGCAGGAGAATGCAATTGGACATTTATCTCACACCATATAAAAAACCAATTCAAAATGGACTGAAGACTTAAAACCTGAACCTGTAAAATGATTTGAAGAAAACAGGTAAAAGCTTCCTGATAGTGGTCTGGTCAAACATTTTTTTTTTTTATCTGACTCCCAAAGCACAGGCAACAAGAGGAAAACTAGATGACTGTTATTGCAACAAACTAAAAAGCTTCTTCTCAGCAAAAGAAACAATCAACAGAGTGAAGAGACTACTTACTATCATAATTTTAAACTATCAAAGCTCTAAATTTATACAGAATATTTGAGTTGAGCGAAGTGAGATAACTATCCTAGACATCCCACAGTTTTGGAAAGAGGAGATGTAGGCATCTTGAATTAACAGTGAGATGGAGTGGGATCATGAGACTCTGATCAGGACAATGATACAAAAATAATTACAGAGCCATAGGTCTTAACTGGCTATCCATGCTATCTTATTAGCCAAGTGTGATAGATTTTGCAAGTCTTGGCCATATGGGGAAATAATTACCGTGTAATTTTTATACTTAATGTGGCCTATGTAGAATATGTTAACTACATTAGACCTACATATAAATCGATACAGTTTATAGTATTTACCAGTCTTCAAGTCATCACAAGTAGATTTATATAATGAAAATAAGGAGCAATTACAATAAAAACACCCTTTTACAACTATCTCATGGAGCCGGAAAAACCTCCCTGAACGTTACATATTTTTCAATCTGAAAAAGCAGAGCCGCAGAGCCTCAATGATTAATTATTGTTTCTTAATGAGAATTCCACATGGAAATATGTGCATATGTTCATCTTTGTGTGTGTGTGTGTGTGTGTATATATACATATATATATAGAGAGAGAGAGGGAGAGAGAGTTGTTTAGAATTTCTAAGACTCTAATCATACATAATTTACTTCCCCTTGCTTTACAATTTATAAGGAAAGTGGAAAGAAGTGTTTGTGGTCTCAGCATGCACACACCTTTGCTCCCAGCTCATTATAATGCAGTTTCAAAGCTGTTACTCTTTCATCGAGTTCTTTGGGATTTTCCGTCTGCTTTTTCTGTACAATCTGACGTCCAGTCTTTATCACCATTTCCACTTCAGACTTCACTTCACTCAGACTTTTATACAAGTTCTAAGTTTAAACATAAAACAAAACATAATAATCAGTAGAGTTAAAGTACTTCATAATATTATTAACAGAAAGAAATAGAGATTCCCTTAATTGCTAGTCCATGCTTACAATTTTAATAGAGTACCATTTTGTAGCAGTGGTCAATATCTAGCTTTTGCATTTTCTGTTGATTTAATATTTCTATTTTTAATTGTCTACACACATGGCAGATACGTGTAATTTGCAGCTATTCTTATTAAACTGAGAGTTAATCATATATGTGTGTCTTGTGAGATACATATATATATGTATTTAGTTCTTCAATGAACATAAATGTCAATTCTGAATTTTACATGACTTCTATTTTAAATGTTGGAGTTATATAATTCTAGCCATAAATTTGGATGAATTAATTCACTCATTCATCGGGTATTTATTGAGTGGTTACTATGAATCAGATAGTATCTGAACCACTGGGAAGTCAGTGGTGGCCAAAACGCACACATTCGCTGCTGTTTTCATGGTACTTACATATTAGTAAGGTAAAACAACTAAATTTCTAGATCATAATTTTAATACATATTGTATCATATATAACAAAGTGAGGTCATTTTCAATGTTAATTGAATTAGTCAAATTTGTTTTCTTCGAAGGGCTGATGAAAAACATAAACAGATATAAAAATATTATTTACAATTCACATGTACATCACAACTATAAAGCACACGCATACTGTTTCACAAAAATAGGTTGCTACAAAAAAAGCATCATAAGACAAGTGTCATAACTTTGGAAGATAGCTATGTGCACAATTATACCACCAATACCACTCCAACACCACTTGATGTCTTAATTTCGCTTTGTAACTATTTTCCTAGAAATATATGTGTTTGTATGTGTATGTCCATGTATTCAAATATATATGTGTGTGTATATATGTATACATATATATATAATAGTTTACATTATGTATCTCTGCTTTAATTTGTTTAGTCATAAATCTAAACTATCAGTACTTATTTTAGTATTACCAAAAAATAAACTTGCTAGTAGGTAATTGTTTTTATGGAATTAGAACAAAAATCAGGCTTATTTATTATTATTATTTTTTTCAGTTTAAAAGTAAGGTCTAAAACAAAACATTTTGTAAAGTCTGGGCAATTATCTGATTGTCACATGCCTATTTCCATATTAATCCTCTCTTCGGCAACTGATGTTAACATTCCTTTATTACTAATAATTATGATTTTTGTCTGAGCTTTCCAGATGATACTTTTTATTTCATTTTACTCTTGTCTTAGAAGATATAAAAATATCTGTGTATCTGGAAACACGGAAATTAATTATTATGTTGAAAATCAACTATGCTAATTTGGAATCAGAGATTTTTCTAAATTATTTACTCTCTGAACTTCAAAAAAATCTAAATGCTTTATTTTGATGATGACAGTTCCCTCAAGGTACTGTTAGCCATTAACATCATTTCATTCAATAGGCAAATAAAATATTTATAAACAAAGAGGAGAAATATTATTTATATTTGTGTTCATGCCAGTAAGACTTTTATAAATAGACAAACATTTCTTGAAGGCAAGACTATGATTATGGTATATACCACAAAGCATCTTAAATAATGAAAACACTAAACAGTGTAAGGATATTCTTATAAAAAAACTGCTTGAATTCGTCCTGACATTTAAACCAGAACCAGAAGCCAATTCAGCAAGTGCCTTGAGCAGTTTCCTTCATACTGACACAGGGCACAGTCATAGCTGGACACAGGTGAGATTGTTCTCAGCTCATATTTACTGGTAGATATATTTTATAAGGTAACATTAGAGATCTGTTTCTAGAAAAGAATCAAAAGTGCTCACTTTGCAAATATTAGTCATGAAAAATGTACTTGGGTCATTTATGTGGTTTTTTTTTTTTTTTGCAAAATTTAAGATGGGATATGTTCCCATATATTCCTATTCTTATTCATCTAATATCAATTAACTACTTTCTATCATTTCTAATCCAAGTTTCTTTCTGGGGGTGAGAATAATTAACATAATTATATCACAAAAAAATGAAGCTTGAGTTATGAAAATATATTATTGAATAAGAATACCTCATATTTTTCACGAACATGTATTTAAGATATTTGTTTAAAAGAAAAATATTTTCCCAGTCATGATGATATGACTACAATGTATTGAAGTAATCTGTTTTTCACTGATATTATGGAGTAGATGTAGAAACACTATTTAAAATACCAAGTACTAAATAGACTAGTTTTCTCTTTAATGTTAACAACATTCTGTGTTTTCATTTTATGCAACTTTCTACTCTAGTGGTCGATAGTACATGTAGAGTTATAATAATACTTATGTTACTCTAGTAGATGCAATCATACCTCAGCTTTATATTTTCAGAGGAATCACCTTAGTTGGTCAACTTCCAATAATAGCAACATAGGACACCGCTCAATATTACAAAGTTTAAATCAGATTTATGCTATAAGCTATTTGTACCTTTCCATGCCTTTTAATTCTGTGTTGTCTCGTGGCATTTCAGTGTATATCCAGTACTGGTGTTTAAAGGAAAGTTATTAAGGTTTGGAATAAGAGTACCTGAATTGGAATCTTGCTTTGCCATTCACCAGCTGTTTGTCCTTAAATTCTCTAAGGTAATCAGCCTTAAGAATTAAAGGTGGCTTCTGTATGCCATTTAGCTTACTTGGCATCCATTATTTATGCAGTTATTAGGATTATTACAAGTACTGTTGTTACTATTTTTACATTAATATATTTCCTTTCTAGATTTCCATTTAAAATATATTTAAAGAATCATACAAATTAAACACAAGCAACATCTTTTTACATTCTGCACAGTTCTTAGGAGAATTATAGATTCAAAAAAGACACACAGAATAGGCCACAATACATGTGCCAATTTTTGTTCTCAATCTTAAAATTATATAGTATAATTATTATGGTTATCTGAAAACAATTTTTTCTTATAAAAGAGCAGATACTTCTTAATGTGGAAAGTCAAGGGGTACCTGCATATTTGCCAACAGAAATACATACCACACAATGATTTAACTGTGACTGTACTACTTCCTGTTCCACACTCTTGGTTTCCAACGCAGGCAAGTGCATCTTCACTTCATCTAAAATCATCTTACTTTCTTGTAGACGCTGCTCAAAATTGGCTGGCTTCTGAAATAATCGAAACTTCATGGAGACATCTTGCAATTTTTTCTGTAAGGACAGTGTAACAGGGCACTGATTTAATTTTGCCTTTCAAACAATAACTGGTCACATTTTTATTAATAGTTTTGCCTTTATTTCTGAAGATATATAGAAAAATAAAAACAAAATAAAGCAATATTTTTCCATTCATCCAACATGAGAAAACCTACATTTGGGAGAATAATTCAACAGTTTTTTCTTAATGTTATAATAAATAAAAGGTAATTAATTAACCTATTTTATCTTTAAAATGTAGAAAGCAAAAAACTCATTGTTTAGACATCAAATTGTAGTTTTCAAATAATGTCCTCAAATCCAATCTTGCCAATAATCAAGTTGTCTAATATAGACTGGATTATGTTATAATGCCAAACAAAAACATGTTCCTTAGTTTTGGAAATGAAATATACCTGTGCAACATCAATCTGAGACAGGACTCTTTGGGCAGCCTCCTTCCCCTGGTTGTGTTTCTTCATTTCTTCTAAACTGATCTCATGACTTGTCAAATCAGATTGGATTTTCTGTTGGGAGGATAGCATTATTAGTTAACATGCTCTACAAAGAATAACTTTCCAAGAAGACGAAATTCAGAAACTCTCCTAAACCATCACTACCATGTAGCTTCCTTTAAAGCAACCATAAATTGGCCAAGAGTGGTGGTTCACGCCTGTAATCCTAGCACTCTGGGAGGCCGAGGCAGGTGGATCACCTAAATGGAATTATCGTAAATATTTTTTACTTTCATAAATTACCAAAAGTGAAATGATTCATTTCTTCCCTAGGGGATTATTATGAGAAAAGCAATAATCATTTTGAGTCAATAACAACTATTTCAGATATCATTTTCAATAGGCAATTTATATCTTATATGTAGAATTGATATGTTTTATCTTTGAAGTTACACTCAAATCTGACCAAAGACAAGATGTTAACCTGTAAGATTCAGCTAACTGTGACAGGGATGAGATATAATGAGAAAATTGCATGTGGAAAATACTCCTTAATCACGTTCTTTGTATTTTATTTTATTTCATTGTACAGGCAGGGTCTTGCTAGGTGACCCAGACTTGTCTCAAAATCCTGGCCTTAAGCAATTCTCCTGTCTCAGCCTCCCACAGTGCTGTGATTATGGGCGTGAGCCACCGTGCCTGGCCTTAGTGTTGTTTAGTCAGTCACCATGTGCCATATTTCAGTTAAATTTCAGGGAAGCTATGAATTTAATAAACGGAAGTTAAATGCCCCAAATGGGTATTGTTATTTCTCTGATAGATATTTGATGACTTCCTGCAGATACTGATTTTGAATTTTAGATAACTCTAAAACATTTCAATATTTATATATTTAATAAAGACATTTTTCAGCAAGTTCTACTGTAAAGTATATTCTGCATTTAACATACGAATTTCTGAGCCAGTTATAGGCATGGATCTCTGCAGCATGTGGATACCAAAACAATACATTTATTTATTTATTTCTGTCAAATTCATAAAAATCAGCTAGTGGTCAAGTCATTCTAATTTAAAATTCAGTTATTATTAGATTATTATAATTTAGAGAAGAAACTAAGTTATACCAGAGTGCCCATAACATTATCATGTGGATCATTTTGTATAATGCACATTAGTGTAAGTGAATTTACACCAATTGGAGTAAATTCTGATACATATCATTAGAAGATAACATCAGTTTTGCTTAGCAGTTTCCAGAGAGAACTATAGCCCTGAACTGAGTAATGAGAATTATACCAAGAAAATGGGCTAAGTGGTTAAGGAGCTGTTTATGCAAGGTTATAAATTCACAGATCTAACTTAATATTATTCCTTAGAATATTAATCCTAACAATTATAGAGGCAAATTAATTATGAATTACCTAAATGGTTAGAATTCTGCCTTAAAACAAATGAGAGAATACTCATATAAATGTATCTTATTTTATTACCATATACATGATCTTCTTTGGTTGAACAACTACCTTGTGTGAGAAATATTGATACATTCTGGGAACCTAGAATCTGGGAGTAGGGATCCATCTAGGTGCATGACATTATTTGTAGAGCAAGGAACATCACAGAATCTATAAAATTTGATAGAAGTATGCAGGGTGGAGTAATGCTCGGATGGAGGATGTCACAAGGGAGTTGATGTTAAAGTAGAACTTTGAATAATTAGTAAGCATTGCTGGGAGTAACAGATGCTTTAGAGGGGTTATGACCAGGGCCTTTCATCCTGGAAATGTTAATCCTCCTCAAAAAGATGGGCCAATAACAACCATGTCTGGGCCACATAATTCTGGACAACTCCATGTTATGGGTGATCAGAATGTGGAAAATGCTTGTGTCAAGAGAGAATCATCAGAATTTCTCTCAGAAAATTAGAATTGACAGAAGAAAGTCTGGTCAAACTGTGAGTGCTTGGAATTGTGTCACATATGCTAACAAATTGCGCTTCTGAAATCCCTAGTTTGCAGAGTGGATTGAGGAAGAGCAAAGGTCCATGCACAGAGAGAGAAGAAAGAAGTAGATGCATAGGGAGTAAGGTGGTAACAAAAATATTGATAGTTTCCAATAGCAGGCTGCAGTCTGTTTTTTTTTGTTTTGTTTTTTTTTTTTTTGTTTTTTTTTAAGATGGAGCATCGGTCTGTCACCCAGGCTGGAGTGCAATGGCACTATCTTGGCTCACTGCAACCTCTGCATCCTGGGTTCAAGTGATTCTCCTGCCTCAGCCTCCCAAGTAGCTGCGATTACAGGTGCCCACCACCATGCCCAGCTAATTTTTATACTTTTTAGCAGAGACGGGGTTTTACCATGTTGGTCAGGCTGATCTCAAATGCCTCACCTCAGGTGATCCACCCGCCTCAGCTTCCCAAAGTGCTAGGATTACAAGTGTGAGCCACCGCGCTCAGACTGTAGATAGCATTTTAGAAAGAGGGCTGCAATAATAGCGCCCACAGTACATGCTCCTCTTACCACTCCCTCATCAAGAGGTGACGTTTATTTCTTCAGCTTTTTAAATCTGGGTTGACTCTTTGACTGCTTTGACCAATAGAATATAGTCCAAGTGCCAGTTATGGCAAAAGTCCTTAAGTGGCCTGGTAGCTTCCACTTCTGTATTTTTTTTCTTTTTTTATTTATTAATTATTATTATTATACTTTAAGTTCTAGGGTACATGTGCATAACGTGCAGGTTTGTTACATATGTATACTTGTGCCTTGTTGGTGTGCTG